ACTTCACTTTGACTTGCTTTGCTACGTTTGTGTTTGTTGTTGGCGGCAATGCGCTGCCATCCATCGTTTGCGTTCTGCCCGCATTTTACTTTGACGTTTAGATGTCAAGCTTTTTACGTGGTGGCCGCACAATGCTTCCATGTTCGTGAATATACATTTTTTACATATGTACATATGTATGTATATAATTTATGTATGTTTTTCTGCACTATTTCACTGCTGTTGTTTTGTTCTGTAACTATTTTTATTATATTTAAACACATATGTAAATACATAAACATATGTATGTCTTCCCTTATTGTTCTATACAATTTCCTGTAATTTTTTATAATATATGTTTGTGCATATTTTATCATTTATGTATATTTTTCCTCCCCTTTAATGTTTTTCTACTACCATCACTTGCCGCCCCTCGCTTGCTCAGCTACCACAAAGTTTATCTCAAGAGGTCATTTACATTCAGTCATTGTCTTTGCATCAATTTTCCACTTCTTTGCATGCTTTCTTTTATTGCTTTTCTTTCTAAATATGTTCTATACGGCTATTATCAACACTCATTTCCTCAAGACAATGATTTTCTGTGCAATTTTCTGCAGTTACCAATTTACTTTTTCCTTCTTAACATAACTTGTGTTCTCTGAGTTGCCCTGCATTTTTTGTATTCATTTGTTGGTATTTCTTATGTGTCAGTTCACCTGCGAATTGTGCATTTCTTACACACTTGCATGTTAAAGTGCATTTACTTTTAAACAAATGCAAATGTTATATATGTGTATATACATATTTACATACATAAGTATGTACATATATGCCTATATTTGCTGCTAATGTGTAAAATATTTTCTTTCTGCCATTAGACCGCATAAGGGCCTGTCCGTTGAACTTTAATTGATCTCGACAAGTACTTTGCTGTGTCTCCTCAATTTGTTATACTTTGATTTCTCCCCAAATGCCTTCTTGACAGCTGCTGTCAATTTGATCAAATTACACAATTAAAGTTTGTGTGTTTTAAGTAAGCTTTTGTGTATGTAGGTGAAAAATCTTAATTGCTCGTAGTCTCAACTTTACCTAAAAAGGGCTAACATTTTTTATATAAGTGTATGGCGTGACAATCAAACATAAAGCTAAATTTTTTAACCACTATGCAGTTGGTCTATAAGTTTTTATGGTCATATGTTGTAAACTTGCACTTGGTTCCTTGTATATATTTTTCTTGCTTTTTTACATATACAATATTTATATGCTTTTATGCAGGTATTAGAGATATATTTACACTTTGCTTTATCTACTTCTTTTGCATCTTAACGACCTTCCACATGCTCGTGTTATTGACCACTCACTCACTGGTCATTAATTTCAAAAACTTTTTCATTCCCACATATTCGTGTATCTTTTCGTGCTACATTTTCATTTGAAATATCAAAACAATACAACACTTTTGGTCTGCTAGTTTATTGCATTTACATGTCTTTTTTTTAATTAATTTTTCGTTTGCGACTTATGATCATTGAAGATTTGAAATTTCACGCCATTGACGTGTTTGCGCAAAGTGAAATTAATATTTTTGCTTTCGCGTGATATGTATACAATATACATATGTATATGTAGTTTTTAAGATCTACCTTGATTTCTATAATCTTATATTTTTATATAATGCTAGTTTGTCAAAAAAGTCTTGCGGTATTTTCGCTAGTTGGCGCTGAGAGCGCGTAGTTCTAGTTTTATTCGTCGCTAGCACGTGTATAAAGAGAAAATACATATTTTACAGTACTACTACGATAAGGGCAAAAATGCATGTCAAGCCGCCAATAAAATTTTTGCAGTTTATGGACCCGATACATTCCATTACCACCGCACAACGATGGTTTCAACGTTTTCGCTGAATTGGTCGAAAGAGTCCGGCATAGTAGCAGCCGTAGCATCGGTTAAGAGCTGAGCATGAGTCATCAAAAAAAAAAAAAAATTTTATGAACAATTGAAAATTCAATAAAAATACCGCAAGACTTTTTTTGACAACCTAATATGTTCTGTAAAAGTCTTCGTAAATGAGAGCACTAAATTTGATTTGAGAATTAAACTTTTTGTTTGTGAAAAAAGGAATTGGCGTTGAATTTGACAATGTTAACAGCTGACTGTTGATCGGAACAGTGTTGCATTAAAAAAATATATTGCAATTTAAATAAAAAATTTATGGATTTTTCTTAAAATCAAGTTTTTAATGGAATAATAAGGGAACTTGGTCCCACCACTATTTTGAAAAAAAAACATCCAGTTTTGTTGCTTGTTGCATATTAATCTAGTTTTTGAACGCAATTTACTACATGACTGTTAAAATACACTAAATTCGATTACGCTTGTATAATGGCCCAAAAAGCAAAACTAATGAACGGAACATATTTTTCCATTGCCGCAACCAAAAATTCAATTGCCGTCTACAAAACATGGTTGTGGATGCATGCGTCAAGCATTTAATTGAAATGCAATTGCAGTGCATATCCCTTGAGCCCAATTTCCAGGCGCTCTGCTAGCATAAGCTCCCAATTTGTGTTGCACAATTGAAATATGGCCAGCAAAAAGGCCCTCTGAGACGCAACAATGCAGTTATGACCCATTCCCTGCCGCGCCGCAGCGCACAGTTGCACATTTTCATAAATTCATTCTTCATTTGACTGCCCAGTTGGGAATATGTCCCACCATACACTTCTCTGCCCGGCATAGATATTCGTACTCGCTGCCCATATTCGTTCGTCAAAACATATTTACAGTCGTCTATAACATTAGTAATGCATTTTCTGTATATTGACAAGGCTCGTAATGTAAAATGTTAAATACTACGACTTGCCATAGTCACATTTTAATATATATACATAGCTTCATGTAGGTGTAGTGACAAGGTGGCCGCCTAGAAAAGGGGCCAACACGTTCACGCTTTGGCCTTCTAAGCACATCGGTCGACTAGACGGACAAATGACTTGGCCAAACTCTCTTCCGCTAACTGCTTTTGTACACAGCGAGTTGCGCCTTTGCGCTTTTATGCGCCTCAATTGTCTGGCTGCATATGTACATACAAATATCGGTTTGTATGGGCTTGCACTTGCTAAGTTAAGCTATTATATTATTATTATTTATGTGGTAATTATTAACATATTCTATTGTCATATTTTCTACTGTTCTTTGCTGTCTTCAAGTGGCCGTAGAGTACGTGCAAAGTTAGTAACCATACTATTTATTTTGTAAATGCGATGTTTCTCAGCGTGCTGCTGCATTAAAAGTATAATTTAAAGAAACATTAAAGATTTATTAAAAAAATCACTAAATTTTAAGAAATTATTGCTCATAAAATAGATTATAAAAAACTTAAACTTGAAACTCAACCGCTAATAAATTATTTTTTTCTTTTCAACTGTTTTCTGCGATTAACAAAATAAAAAAAAACGACACCCTGTAAACTGTTCTGCGAAGTCCCTTTTTATTTGTTCAGAAAGCTGATTGCATCCCACATATAATTAAAATTCATTTAAATTCAGCGTATTAAAATGTATTTATACAAATTTGTTTGCCTCACATGCTGCACACACATACATAAACTATGTGTGTAAATATAAAACTGCATACAGCCAAAAAAAATGCAGCGTATGCAGCGAAGAATTACAACAACTCGCGTATGTTTGCTTATGTAGGTCACAAAGAAACCGTGAAAGTGCATTGATTATTTGCTCGATTGCCTGGCTGGCTGATTGGCTGACTGCAGAGCGTTTGCCGTTTGTTTTTGACGGCGCAGTTGCCTTGCCGCCTATCGCTTGTGCTTCTATCAGCGGGCACTCCAGCCGCCATACTTCTGTGATAAAAGCTTAATAATTCATGTAAACAGTTGCTTTTGTTGTTATCATGCCACATATTGTTTTTATAGTTACTGTGTTTTTTTCTTTTTTTTGTTTTTCGCTTGTACCACAAATGCTGCATAAAGAGCCACTTGAAAGGCCAAAGCCGAAATCGAACACGCACTTTGCCATTAAGCATAATTAAGCATATTTTACGACCGGTCATTATATTTACTAAATGGACTTTAACAAACACAAAAAGAGCACACACTTGTGTGTGTGTTTAGGTGTGAAAGCTTAATTACTTTTCCATATATGAAATTTCGTTGCTTGCTCGAACGTTGTGTTCGGCAGTGCATTGCACTTTGGCGCATTTTTTGTTTTTGTTCTTGCTAAATTATAGTTTATTTTCTAACGTCGAAGTAATGATTAATTTGTGGTTAATAATATTGGTATAAAATAATAAATTACTGTTTACTTTTATAGCAAATTTATTGCCAAAGTGCGAGTCAATATTTTTAAGCTTTCGAAGTAGTGGGTGAAAAAATAGAAAATTATATTTATATACATATATGTATATATGTTTTTTTTTTATAAATGTAACCACTTTTTAAGTTATCTTTTTACTGCTTTGAAATAGTTTTTTTTTTTTTTGTTTTTTTTTTTAATACATAATTCTCATAACAAGAGAATTAAAACCCTCTCAAAAAATATTTCAAGATAATTTCTTTACAACCTTTTTATTTTAATTTCGAATTCATACAAAAAAGTATTTGCCGCTGCTAGTTCTACAGTTGTTTTTTGCAAATTTCAACGTAGTTCCTACGTAAATGATCTGGCGCCATCTAAGCAAACAATCTAAGCTGCCGAATCGCGCTGGCTGTGCGTGAATGTGTTTCTCACTACTGAAACTTTGAACGAGCGAAGAATTTCTTTTTCAACATAAAGAAACCGTTTCCCACCACCTTCAGCACTCCCTCATTTCGATCAGATCACAATCTGTTCTAGATCACAAGGCATACGCATACATACAGAGATATGTACGTGCGCATGTTCCGTATGAATAATTAATTCCTAATTTACTCCGCAGACTGCTCAGAACCGCTTCATAACCTCACTGCCGTCGCCTGCAAGACAATGATTAATTTTCGTATTTGCTCTCTCTTCTTGTCTTTACAGAATTAATGATCAATTTCATTTTACGATAACAATAGCGCAAACAACAACAACAACAGCAGCAAAAGCATGAAAATAAACACGCGAACAACCAGCAGAATAGCAACGAAACCAAAACGATTCCCTCAAGTGATCTGAACGAAAATGTCGAACAAACAACAAAAACGTAAAGAACAACCAAAATCAAAATAATAAAAAAGTATAAAAATAATAAAAACATTTGCGTCGAAGAAATTGTGAAGAAGGCATTGGTGAAGAAAAAGCAAAACAAAAAAATTAATCTAACCTAAAAATAATTAAAAAGCTGAAGCAACAGCATAAAAAATACGAACAAAATAAATAAAGTCATTCAATCAAAGAAAAATATAAAAATGTCGAAATGTCAAAACAATTCCAATAATTCGGCGCAGCTTTTAATGCGCTGCATTTTCAGAGCAGATATAAGCGGTTGAGCCACCACCCTCCACCGCTAAAAGCGCTCCGCGTCGATTGATGTGCGTTGATATAATATTTGTGGAGGAAAAAATCTGCGAATGACGAAATTAAGCGACGCCGCTAATAAATAAAGGAAACGCATAACACCAGTAATAATAATAATAATAACGAAGTGCTAGCAATTAGAGGCAATTAACGTAATTGTTGAAAATTGTCAAAATATTCTTGACAACCGCGAGAAATATTAGTAAAAAAAAATAACCGAAAAGTGTTGCCTCAGTGTTTCTACTTTGAGGTGAAGTGATTTCCTTTTGTTTTTCAAAACGCAAATATAGTGTATTTATCACAATGGATTTGAGCTTAGAACGCGACAGCAGCTCTGCGCTGGGCAGTCTCTTTCAGCAGATTATCAATGATTTGAAGGTAAGTCGTCATTTTTTATTCTAAATTAATGTGCTTTATTTATATAAAAAATTTCATCGAACTTAGGCATTTCAAACACTTTTTTATATTCTCATGGACTCTAAATAAATTTATTAATAATGAAATTGAATTATTTATAATATGGACATAAAAAAAAACTTGACATCGGCTGCACCGAACTATAATATCATTCATAGCTACATTTCATTAAGCATCTTGAGTTTGATTGGCTAGTTTGAATGATAGATATATGATACGGTCATTATGCTAAATTTCGTGAAGATATCTTGTCAAACAAAAAAAATTTCCATACAAGAATTTATTTTTAACTGTTCGGCTTGTACTATATGATATGGTGGTCCGATATCAGCGGTTCCGTTAAATGAACAGCAAGAACAAAAATTGCTTAATGGTCAGAGAAAGATTAATTTCGGCCATATCCTCAAGTTGACTGTTCCTTAACTGTACTGTATGTACAAGTCGATCCAGGTCCCGCCGAGGGTCATGATTCGATGCCATGTGCTCAAAAGTAAACGGCAATACGCTAATCAGAATTCGGACACAACTAACTTCAGACATGCACTGATCGCCATTCAAAGTGGAGCCATAAACATCCACTCCTTCTTAGTTAATTTTGAACTTGGTGTCAAACCACCATCCATTGCATACGACGAGATAGAGTTGCCGAGAGAAGACCTTTGTTCTGGATACCGTAGCAGATTAAACTCCTACTTATCCAGAATTCAAGACACCATTTCTTTGCACGCTCAGCTAATACTAGACATCTGACAACCCTACTCATATGATCCGACTCCATTCACACAGCACGTTTCCTGGATCTACCATTGAATGATCTCGATTACACGTTATCTCAACCTTACCATCCTATATGCGATTTTGCGCTCAACCTTACCTCCGGGGACTAGATAACCATTACAGAAACAACAAACGACGTAGAAACTACTTCAGATTTAACAGCGTAATGCATTGTTTTATAGTGATCTCACAGTTGCAGTTATTATCCGGAGTGAGTAACCTCTTTAAGCAAATCGTGCTTTTTTGTTACCTTCTCCTTCATGGTTGCCATTTTTGAAGAACCTTGGCGTTGCTCATAGAAAACTGACGTGAAATTTTTGAGAGTCGCCATCAAAGTAGAAAAGTATCAATATACAGGTTCTAAGCTATCTTCGGTTCGTCTTCCAACACTAAGAATCGTTTCATTGACCGATATTGTTTTTTTTTTTTGGGCATTCTTCTGAATCGACTTTATCCAAACGTGATTAAAAACGAAAATTTCGCGTTCGATTCGGAATATGCTATCCGATAGAAAATTTGCTCCTGCGTTAGTAGTGTTAACAGCTAGGAAGACAAAGCCATTCTCGGTCCGGTCTCGTATTTATAAAATGTGCTAAAGTAAGTTTTAGCAAATGTTTACCTTTGTTGTGATTTGTATTTAGTTTCTTGAAGATGCTCTGAATATTTGTGACCAGATTTCCATCCACCGTTTTGGAAATTACAAAAGGGTAACGTCCTTTAACAGTGAAATGCACAAGCTTCTCGACTGCTGCATCCATTATGCTTTATAAATTCTGCCTCTATATGTCCTCTTTATTTGTCTAAAGGCCGAAGTCAAGTTTGTGTACACATATTTGCTCATATTCATAAAAATATCAAATAACCAAACAAGTGAACGACCACGCACGGTAGGGGTACCTCAGTTCCTTTGTTTATCTTCGTCATATACGCTGTGCGTTAATTTTGTTTATTCTAAGACCTCACAAAGTGCAGTCAAAAATTTTGTAATTCAGTGCACAGCCCGTGACAACAGCTGAGGTCTATAACAAAAAACAAAGTCAAAATCAGAAAGTGAAATGAAAGAATAACAGGAATTGTGGCTGCAAGGTCAAAACAGTCGCTCCTGGTCTCTGTGTCTCTGTCGCTCGGCGTGCATTCAAGTGTCCAATGCACGGCTGCCACTCGAGTCGGTACAGATGTTTTCGAACATATGATACGAAAAATGCCAGAAAAAACACGAAAAACATTCTAATAAGAGCTGTTGCACACAAGAAAGTTATACGAAATTGGTAAACAAAACATTTGACGTTTAATATTTGTGTGAACGTATGTGTGCATATTGCTTTTTGTGTGTCATTTTCAATATTTCTCACGCATGCATTGTGAATGCCGCAGGCGTTTTTGGTTTCTGCCTTATTTTATTTTGCTTTTTTGCTTCTCTTCTTTTTTCAAATTATTTTGGCTGGGAATCAAAGGGTACGCACACACTCAATATAACAAGCCCGCAGGTAGATATTGATTTATAAAATTGTTTTCTGCTCATTTGTATAGAAGTATTAAGTATTAATAATAGCAGAAACACCAACAAAAAACATTAGGAAACGCTAATAGCGGCATATAATTAATTGTTGGTTGTGTGGCCATGTGGTTTCCAGCTGCTCGGAAATTGAATTGTTATTAAATTTCGTCGTGACCTTGAAAAACAAATGCAAGGAAATTAATTTATTTGGTGAATCACACTTAAATTGGCTGCCTTGGTATACCGAAATTACTGCAATTATTGAGAATCATTAATTAATTAAATCCTCTCAAGTTCTTTCTGCCAATAGATGGCGCTATATTCAGCAGTTTTAGTTTCTGGCATTAAACGAATGTCTCGAAGTTAGTTTGTGATCATTTCAAAGACGGCAGTTACTATTCTAACGCAAAATAACTCTTGTCAACAGATGCTACTTCGAACTGAGTAAGCAACTGAGAAGTGAAGTCCTCTCTCCAGGAACAAAGACCAAATTCTGCAAGTAACTAATCATCCCCGTCCACCTAATATTGTGCATTTTTTCAGAAATATTCTGTTGCATGGATTTTTATATTAAAGACGTTCAACTCTTAATCTCAAGAAAAAGCTATGAAATAATCCACAAAATTTACTGTTAAACACTCATAAGACCTACATATGTACATAGGTAGGTTAGTGTCTAACAAAATCAAGATGTTGTACGAAAAAGTTTCTTATTTGGTGCGGACTATTCTCCAATGCATCCTTACAATATCCGAAGAAATCATACTAAAGCATATGCGTGTGTTTTCGTTGATCGCTAGTGTGTCCAAAAATCCGATTTCTCAATTTAAAGTAAAGTCGCGCATAGGTCCAGAAACTCAGAAACTCCCATGTTAGTTAGGATTTTTAACAATAGGGGAGTTAGATCTAGTAGTATACTACATTAAACACTGCAATTGTTCTGCCTTTATTTAAAAACTGTCTTATTAAAAAAATTACGGATTAGAATCCGTTGTAAGAGAGTCAGATAGAACCATTGTCGAATTCGACTCTAAAAATCATCATAATTCTTATTTTTCCAGAAGGCACCCTTTTTTGTTCTTAAAAAAATACGATAATATAATATAAATAATATAGTTCGACCAGAGGCTTCCTCAGAAGTTTCGTTACCAGTGAATTGTCACTAAACTATGTCGGGTACTGGCGTTGATCATCGGCCAAGTTGTTGGTATAGTTGTTAAAAATACTTTTCAGATCAAAACATTCGAGGCAATGGTTATATACGTATACATTTCTAAAAGTTCCAATATTGTCGGTTCCTAATATTATATGTTTGAATTATTTCAACGATCTTATTGTTCGGGCCAGTGTACATGTGGATTCGACTATCAAGAATGCCAACTAGGGGCGTGTGGGCTAAGGAAGATTGGAGAAACAGTTTTTTTTTTTTKTCAAGAACATTAACGTTAGCTTCAGGATACTAGATCACTGTAAGTTGTATTTCTCAAGCAGAAATGGCTGCAATTAAGAGAGCGATAGATTCACTGCTTCGAAGTGTAACTTCATACACAGAGGTTTGCATTCAATCCAATAGCAAAACGGCAGTACTGAGCTCGCTGAGAGCGCCTTAATGTTAGACATCTGTACCTAAATCTAGTCAAACTGCAACCTTTTTTGAGTTCAGTGCGACAATTTCGATGTTTGGTTGTACTTTTGTTAAATAAGGATGAAGCAGCGATTTTTTTCTTTTGCTTCAAGCAGTCGATGTGAAATGAAAAGACTTCGAAATAAATGAAATATTTCGTCCTAATTGAAATCAATCGGTCGGTAAAAACCAATTCACATCAATTTCAATAGGTTTATGGAACATGCCAAAATATTTTGTATTTTAGTTATCTGTTCTTAGTAACTTCCAAACACCAATGTTGCTCGCTGAAGATTAAATATTATTCGGCTGAAAGATGTCATTTTCATTAGCAGTAGAGTTGCATTCTCAGTTATTATGCGGTAAAATATAAATTCTATTTTTTTTCTCACAATCATTTTACAATTGTTGTACAGCTATCATTTTATTTAAAATATTATGTACGTGACATTTAAAAATAGAATAAAAATAAATACATAAATTAGAATATGCCACCTGCCCTAATACCCTCCCGCTCAGCTCTCAGCGGCGTTAAATCGGTCGAGCGGCTGAGTTTTCGAAAATAAAACGTCGCATTAATGATGAATACCATTCAATACAGGTTGGCTGCACCCTGGGACCGCACCGTTTTCATGCACACTTGTACATCCTTTCAGCGCCTGCTTGGAAATTCACCAAGCGATTGTTTTATCATTTAACTGTAACTGCGTTTTAATTGCGTTTTTGTTTTTTTTGCGCGACCACTCGGCAGCAACTGCAGCTACAGCGACGGTGCTCGAAGTTGAACGAATGCGCATTTAAATTTGTTTGTATGTATGTGTTTGCTATGCACCTTTTTGGCTATGCCGTAAGTCCCGCTGCATTGGCGATTCACAGATAATGTCATTACATAGCGATGGCAAATGTCAACAGCAGCTTAAGCTTTCCGCGGGCATTCGGCTGTGCGAGATTCCATTTTCGATAAGCTTACAAAACGCTCACAAATCGTATAAAATGCTCACGGCATTTAGATTTCGATTTATTTATTGCGGGCAATACAACAAACGTTTGCTAAATTCTGTC